TGATTATTTTTTGAAGGAAATATTTTAAAAAGGAGGAGTTGGAAATTAAAATGGAGTGGTTAATGGGTGATTTATCAGGCAGAATGTTGAGGGACTGATCCAATCTAATCTGGACATTCACTCAACCAGACTGTGTAATTGCTCCGCCATGCTAATAAGGGCACTTTCAGAATCAAAGAAATAATTGATTTGTTGTTTGTTTCTCTTATAACTCTTAATATGTGAAATGCTCTATAATTCTGTTTTCTCATACATTTCTTCGTAAGTTGTCCAGATGTTACTTTAGAAGTGGAGGTTGATGCTTTTCACTGCCTGACACGGGACGCTAACTTTTCTCCTTCTGTGTTTTGGACTCCAATTCTCAGAGTTATCTGATCATTCCCCAGACAGAATTGTGACGGTTTCAGCCCACAAACACACACTTCCATTAGTCACCTTTATTTTGCTCACGTAGCAAAGGACCTGCCTCTGAGCCTGCATCAGCTCTTTGCTTCCTGTTGTTAATTAAAGAAAGAAAAACTCCTGTCATGGTGCTTCCAGGGATTCATAGTTCTTTGGGAGGTGCCCTCTATATAAACTAATGGGCGATGGGACTATGACTCTCAGTGTCCTCTGCACCAAGAGGTCAGCTGCCTCTGCTGACAGCCATAATTAAATTCATTGCAAAAGAATAAGGTTATAAATATGGCCAAAAGATAAATAGGTTAAATAGAGACTAAGTGAGAGGGTGGGTTCCACATATGTTTCACACAAATCTCTCTATATATGCAATTGTGTCCAGTTAGGAAATTGATTGCACATTATATTATTTTAAATGACCAGTCTTCATTTGTAAACCTGTTTGGCAAGGCTATTGAAAGACAGAGGTAAAATTAAATATTTTTTAAAAAAAACTTAAAAACCTAGAGTAATAAAACCAGCAATTTAGTTTCTTTAAGCAATAGAATTGCACTGTTTCTTTCCATAACTTTAATACATATTTTTTTCAGTCTATGTTGCCAAGAACAGTATTTTAATAGCTCCAATGAGTTGTCCCAGGAAGAGATGGTTTCTAGGTCTTATACACGGTTACCACTTCACTTTGTTTTGATATGAGAGATGAGAAATGAAATGCATGTTAAAGTCATTTGCCGAGCCCTGAACTTGAAGCAGCGAAGAAAACATATAGCAGTAAATCATTCACCTGTCCAGCTTTCTGTAAAATGGTTTACCCAAATGATTTTAACAGGCTGAGGGTCGTACCTGAGGTTAAGAGTCTACTTCTGCAGTACAAATTTGATGATAAAATGCAGCCCCCACTTTAAAAAAAAATGTGTTTCAGACATTTACAGACAGCACAGCCTGCTCTGTGCAAGTTCAGCTTCATCCTGAAAAGTGTCTATTGCTTTATATGACCAACAAGCAGATGTTTCTAGAACACATTCAAAACTAGTGCAATTAAAGTGTCAAAGCAATTAGCAACTGTGAAGATATATTGTAAAAATATTCCTTGTGTTTGTTAATTTGGGAGGAAGTTTTACAGCTGTGGTTCCTACAATGACCAGCCTATCCTAATGGGGATGTGAATGAGATGGAGTGTAACTAGACAAAATAGTCACTAGTATTACACAACCAATAGGAGTCCAGGGGTCTTTGAAAACCATACCATAGGTTGTGTAAGACTTGTAAGGCACGTAACACATCTAGTATCCAGTAATACCCATTTCACTAGAGATTGCTTCTGAAAAGTTAGATCCATTACATCTGAGATATGGAATTCATGGTTCTACAGATGTTATTAATCTGCAGTGACCATCCTTCACCATTGGCTCTACTAGTTATGACTGACGGGAGTTGCCATTGAACAATATCTGCAAAGCCAACATTCCCTACTCTTGAGTTAAGTGCTACACCTCCAACCAGGCCAAACTATATCAAGAGTTGAAATGGGCAACTATCATGCTAGATAACTAGAGTTCATAGGGTGCCATGCTACTGTCCTCATGACAATGTATTCACACTACACAGTTATATCACTTTAACTGCCATGGCTTCATCCTATGGAATGTTGATATTTGTTGTTTGTACATAGAATTCTAATGGTATCAAACAGATACAACTATGTAAGCAGAAATGGAAAACCCCATCAAAACCAATTGAACTAAATACTGTAAGCCTGTTCTTACGTTGACACTAAATTGGGCTTTAATGCTATGTGGATAAACTTCTGCAAAGCCAAACATAGAAGATGAATTTCTTTCAGACTGTTGTGACCCAAAGGTCTGTACACTAAATTGGGCTTTAATGCTATGTGGACAAACTTCTGCAAAGCCAAATACTGTATAGAAGATGAATTTCTTTCAGATTGTTGTGACCCAAAGGTGTGTTTTTTTTGTACTTCCAAGAAAAGAAAGCAGCTTTTCTTTGTGTTGCTTTGCGATTGCCATCAATCCATTGAGTGCTCTTTTAGAAATATAAAACTATACGTTTTGAGAAATTATACATTTTTCTACCTGAATAACTATTTTGCCAGTTTATTTTGAATTGAATCATTTTAACTGTTTAAAATTATTTTCATTAAGGGTAGGCATGTTTATGGGTACATCTAGTGACTCCTGTTTAATTTATATTTTCCATAGCAATAGTAATGATGTAGATAAAGTGAAGCACTATATTAAATGCACTGGGAGATGTGTGAGAGAAAAATGAAAAATAAAGATGAAACTTGTGTGCACATAAAAACCTCAGCCTTTAGTCTGACTTCTAGGCCTGGAATCTTGGATGACTTACAACATTCTGGTTAGTCCCACTATATAAGTAAGGCTGATGGAGTTCTTAAAGAGTTCCCTGTATAGCTTCCTATTTTCCATTTTACCTAGATTTATATAGCTCAGGACCCTAACGCTTATGACACATGCTTCGCTATATTTACATTTGATACTTCAGAAAGGAACTTTCACATCCAAGGTTGGAGTTTTGAGTGGAAACTTTAAATCTGTTGCTTATATAACCACATTCCTTGGTTAATCTGAACTGCTGAGGTAATGAGTTTCGTGGTCTTCATATGTTCCTGAGATAGTTCTTTATGTATGTAAAATTGAGTGTGATTGGAAACTTGACTCGTCTCTCATAAAGGAAACGTTTATCTAGGCTGGTGAGCCAGGAAGCATGCAGCCTCTTCGAATGGCAATTTGCTTTGCTTCTTGACTTTAAAGTAGTTTTTTTCCTCAGCAACTATTAATGCAAATTTACACTTGGTTCTTTTCAGAAAGTGCAACAGGAAAAATGTATCGCTGAAACCGGACAGTAACCACCTGAGTTCCCTAAGGACAATTATTTTAGATTGACTGTTACATCTAAGAGAAATTTGCAGGCTCTTATGTGTGGATGTTGTGTTTTATTGTGATTATTTCTCAGACTGAAATTACATCTGCAGTCCTTTGCAAATGTCACTCCCTGCACATAGAGCGCTAATATGTACCTCAAGGGCTGAGGCAGCATAATGGCTGGGTTACCAAGTTACACATTAAGAAGTCCCTAGTTTGAATCTTGTGTCTGCCATGAACACACTAGGTTGCGTTAGGCAAAGTACTTTTTCTCCAGATCGATTCATCTATCTGTAGGATAATAAACCTGACTGACCTTGTAGGTTTATGTGAGTGTATCTGCGCTACATGTCTAAGAGCATTTTGATGCCTCTCGAACTGTCAAAGGTTCAGTCTGTGAAACCCTGTGATTTGTTGGTTAACGTATTGAGAACTGGAGAGCCAGGGTGGAGCAATGGACAGAGTGGTGAACTGGGTTTTAGGAAACCTGAGTGCAAATCCCCACATGGCCATGGAAACCCACTATGAGGGTGTAAAGTAGAAAACAACTCCTTAAATATCTCAAATACCTTGAAGATTCTATTACAATTGCAATAAGTCAGATGTGTCTTGATGGCATATAAGAACCAGATGTTTAGAACCTAGGCTAGTTCGGGGAAACACACTTGAGCTCTCTACGAAGCTCTAGTCCTTCAAAACTGGTACATTGGCAGGGCTTGAAAAATTTTAGAATGTCTCACCAGTCAAATATTTCACCAGTCAACATGACCGGACTATAGCCTTGCAATTCATTGGGATTGCGAATCACTGATTTATACCCTGAGACTTGGCTTGCTTTATTACCTGTGTGCCCATGGGGTCATGAAGCTTATATTTTGAATGCCTTTCTTTTGAATGTCTCCAGCAAAAATAAAACTGAAAGCAAAAGCGCCCGACCTCTTAAGAAGCCATGGTTCCCTCCTCATTTGGTTGAAATTGGGAGCAGGGAATCTTCATATTCTCCAGCACGGGACTAATCTACATTCTCCTGCAGAGCTATATCTGTATGTGCCGCTTGAACTCTCTTCTCGTGAGAAGAGGGTAGTTTTCCTTTTGCAATGGGAGGAGGGAGGGGAGGACTGCAGGATTAGAAAGAGAGAGAGAGATGGGCAAAGGGTAAGGAGGCAGGGAGCTGCAGCTCGTCAAGCAGCATTTTTCACTCGTCACAGACGAGTGGACAAGCAAATTTTTCAAGCGCCATTTGAAAAATGATTTTTAAGGCCTTTGAAAAATGATTTTTCTCAAGCCCTTTGAAAAACAATTATGATCAGGAAATACATTGGCATAATTGTGTGGTGATAAGGGTTCCAAAATGAGATGTATTCAGTGTAAAAGGGTGGATTTTAAAAAACATATATTGGGTCTTCATTTTCCTTGCTAAGAAATAGCACAATGTTATATGTTAGACCTGATTCAATTGCTGTTACAGGCTTTCAGCACAATCTATCAGACTACATCCAATTGCTAGTCCCAGTGAAAGTAGCCTTTAGAATCAAAGTCACCTTAATATGCTAACACTTGTGTATGTCCCATTAATTCAGTTGACTGATTCCAGTTCGGGCAGACAGTTGCATTTAAAGCAAAAGGCTTAAAGTAGACTTAAAGTAGACTAAAGTGGACTTTGGTTATTTAATTTTCCTCTCTTTTTCTTGACAGGACCTGCAGAGGTTCCCATGATGTCACCCAATGGATCTATTCCTCCCATACATGTGCCTCCAGGTTATATATCACAGGTATGTTCATTCTTCAGCTGTAGTATTTGGATACCTGCAGGGGTGTGTGGTTTTCATAGCAGAATTCAACATCCTGCTTTTCCCCCTTTTAAAAAACAAAAGCTTCTAGTCCTCATGGCTGTGAAAGGTAGGCTTGACTGACTCTCTGTGTGTGCGTGTGTATTTGTGAACACAGTCAAAATTTCAGAAGCAAGAGTACCATTACATTTATTAAGCATTAGGCTGTCACTGACTTAAGTAGCTCTTTGCCCTCTTGGTAATTAGTTTGTAAGCTGTCCATTTACAGCAATTCCATCTGGAACAATTTTAATGTGACAGGTAGTCCACTTATGTCTTAAATTGTTTTAATGTCATCTGACTGAGGGTTGGCTGTCTTTTCAACCTGAAAGTAGGTGTATCTCCACACCAAAGACCAAGATTTTGATGTTGTTTCTTCTCAGTGTCCAGCATCTAAGAAACATCTTCAAGATAACTGTTTTGTAGGGATCTTTGGCTGTGAAGCAGAAACACCCAAAATATTCACTTTAAGAGACCTTGCTATTTTCCAGCTCAGTGATGGAGCCTTTAAATAGTCCAGCTGGGGAGAGAAACAGGCATTCCCTGTATTTAGAGGAGCATCTTCTCTCCTTGATTTGTGTAATTAGCTTCTTCAAGCATTCACTTTTGCTACAGAATGCTATCAGTAAGCCAAGAACATTGCATTATAATTTGGTAGCTAAGGGGGAGGGTGGAGTGGAATTGCTAAAACCACTCCTTGAATTTCTCATTTACCTTGAAAGCCCCATTAGGGTTGCTATAACTTGCTTCCAACTTGATCGCATGTAACACAGTACTTACCAAGCTTTACACAGACTTGCTTTGATCAGCTATAGTAGCTTAAAAGTTACCCAAAATGATAGAACCCATATAGTTCTTACTCATCTGGCTATCATTTGGCTGAAACATTTATCAAACATCCATATTTTAAAAAGGGTTATTATTTCATAGATGTTACACATGAAAATGATGTTCACTTCTGACTAAAACTGATATGTTGCATAGTGAATCAGCGTTTTACAAGTTTTAAAAATATGGTGTGGGAAGTTTTCGAAACAGTCTATATGTTTTAATGCTTAGAATTCTAACCAAATTCTTGCTAGCCCCAAGCAGAGCAGACTTTTGCATAAATTCTTAAATGATAAATCATAACTTATGTAAATCCATGAATTCAGTAGATTTGGCTCTACCAATGCAATTTTGTCTAGTATCTTGCAATTTTGTCCAGTATCTTTGCTTGCAATGAGCATCATCAGATTTTATGAAATGCAATACAATAAATATATATTGATATGATCATTATATTCGGAATGGAACATTTATTACACAAGTAGAGTTTGCATAATGTATTACCTTTGGCCCACATGGGCAAACGAGATGCTCTGGAAAGTTTGTGGGCAAGATCTGAATGTAGCGGTACTCCCATATTGTTGCTCACCCGGAGAGATGTTGTCTTTGAAAACTGGTTTTCAATTAATGTATTAGGACGACTTCTACTTTCTTTCCTCCTGGAGGCTGGATTTTTCGTACCTATTCTGATTTTATATGTGGTAGATCTAAACAGTGATGTTATATTGCATCCAGGCCAGTCCAAGAAATATTTAGGCCAATAATGTCTTCCTGTTCATGCGTGTCTTTTCAGATTTAGCTTACTTTGAATGATCAGATATAATGATCTGCATTTTTGTGATAAATGTGCACTATCTTTCTGCTTTTTATGTGTTATGTTATTTTATCCTCTTTGCTAGTTTTCCTTAGTACTTCTTTTTTTCATCTCTGCTTTTTATGTGTTATGTTATTTTATCGTCTTTGCTAGTTTTCCTTAGTACAGTACTTCTTTTTTTCACCACCCAGAATAGTGTTTCACCACTAAACTGGGTGGTATAACGAAGGAAGGAAGGAAGAGAAATAAATAAATAAATAAATAAATAAAGAATAGTGTTACTTAGTACTTCTGTGTTGGTTATCCCCATGACCTGAGCTGAATCCACACCCCTCACAAGCCATCAAACACCCATTTTTAAAAAGTGTACACCCTCCAGCAAGTTTACAACATGGGTAGTGGTATTGTCATAGGAAGCAGAGAAGTAGTAATTTGGTGATAGAACAATTCTCCTCAGACTAACTTGCTCAACACTTATATTTCAGTATATTGTGTCCTAGGCAAATTTCATGTGTACATTTAAGGTTGTTCAAATTTTTAATTTTGCTTTTAGTTCTTAATTTTGAAGATGGAGTGTATCATCCAAACAGGATGAAAGGTGGTATACAAGTATTTTATGTAGTAGCCAAATATTTGATTTTTACTTTTCTATTTTAATTTAGTCTATATTTTTCCCGTCTTCAATTATACTAATATTACTGATTTAAATTGTTATTTTAATTGTTTTATGATATTTTTACTGTAAGCCGCCCATAGTAGACGTGGTCTAAATGGGCGGGATATAAATCAAATGAATGAATGAATGAATGAATAGAAATTTCTGTTACAAATATTCTGACCAGTTACAGAGATAGGCAAATTCCTACAACAGCAAAATTCATTTATTTACAGTTGAAGGGAAATGTAAACAAATGAGAGAAATATAAATATAGGGAAGCAAAAGATAGATGCAACACGCCATGTCCCCCCCACACCAGGTGTCAACAACACAGATATCAAGGAATGTCAGGTGTCATGTACAGTGGTGCCTCGCTTTACAATTGCCCCGCATTATGACGAAACCTCATTACAACAATCTTTTTGTGATCGCAATTGCGATCACAAAACGATGGTCTGAATGGGGTTTTTTCGCTTTGCAATGATCGGTTCCCTGCTTCGGGAACCGATTCTTCGCAAAATGATGATTTTCCTCCAGCTGATCAGCAGTTTCAAAATGGCCGCCGGGTAAATAAAATGGCTCCCTGCTGTTTTCAATGGCCCCCCTATGGAGGATCTTCACTGGACGGTGAGGTTCCAGCCCATTGGAATGCACTGAAGGGGTTTCGTAATCTCAAGAATAGACCACTGTAATGCGCTTTACGTGGGACTACCTTTGAGGCTGCTGCGGAAACTACAGGTGGTGTAGAATGCGGCGGCCAGATTACTCAGTGGAGTGAGAAGATACCAACATATTTCACCCACTCTGGCCGCATTGCATTGGCTGCTCATCCGTTTCCGCATCGACTTCAAAGTGTTGATGCTTACGTATAAAGCCCTAAACGGTTTAGGCCCTCGATACTTGGCGGAACGCCTTCTCCCACTAAGATCTACCCGTGTCACTCATGCGAGCCAGGAGGTGAGACTGAGGAGCCTAACGCCGAGGGAGGCCCGGAAGGAAAAGACAAGAAATCGGGCCTTCTCGGCGGTGGCTCCTCGTCTCTGGAACAACCTACCCCCTGAGATTCGCGCGGCTACCTCGCTGGGTATTTTTAAGAAACTATTAAAAACATGGATGTTTAGGCAGGCCTTCTCAACAGATAACTCCTGACGACTTTTCCCTTCTCCTATAGCTCTCCCATTTTGTTTAGTATTTTTTTTGTTATGTAAAATGGTTATATGTATATTATTGTATCATTTTTATGTTGTTAGCCGCCTAGAATGGTCCTAACACCACCAGATAGGCGGGATATAAAATAAATAAATAAATAAATAAATAAATTCTATGGGCTTTTTATTTTCGCATTACGACTTTTCGTTCTACAGCAATTTCGCTGGAACAAATTAATGTCGTAATGCGAGGCACCACTGTAGTAGTAACAGCAGTTGCGGCAGCCACATAGAAATCATGTATTTTCCTTCATAGATTTAAACCCGCTTAGCAGAATGACCACTTAGAGTATTTTTCATTTGTAATATACTTAAAAGCTAAAAATTGCTATATTGCTTTTTTTTTTAACTTTTTAATGATGTATTTTGAGATATACTCTCTGCCTCTTGGATTGAAATGTAATTTTAAGTTCCATAACTTTTATAATTAAATAACAACACAGATTTTTCTAATTTAAGTTCTGCCTAAAATTTACCTTTTTGTTTTAGATTATTTCTTAACTGCATCTTTACAGTGTAGTGACATTCGTCGTGAGATTATCATAGTGTTTTGTACACTCAGTAATCTAGGATGAGTGTTAAGTGGTATGGTGTACTCACACCGCTTGAATATAACAACCACATTAATACAAATTTCCAAGGATGGATAGAACATTGACATGTATCATAAATCTTTGCCCAATTGAAAATACTTCTGTTCTTCGTGGCCTCTGTGAATGCACACAAGTGGGTTTTTCTATGCCTGCGCAGGATGTTTTGGAACTTTCTAGAGCCTAAAAAACAGTTAGACATCCCCCCCTTGGAGTTCAAGCTCCATCCTCCAATCGTCCCCTCAGTTCCTTTCCCTCCCGCCACATTGGAAAGACATATAGGAGCACACTAGAGTGAATAGAGAGTACAGTGGGGTCTTGACTTACGAACAGCCCGAGTTACAAACATTTTGACTTACAAACTGCTCTCATAGGAAAATATTGACTTGACTTACGTACTTAGATTTGAGTTACGAACTGAAAAAACCCATGTGGGAGGCAGGGAAAGTGCAAAATTTGAACTTTCAGTTAACTGTTGGCCAGTGAAAAGGGTGCCTGTCTGCTTCCTCACTCCTCCCAGCGTTTAGAGAGTGGATTGGGAGACAGTCTTCAGACTGCCAGGTACTGCCTGGACTGTATTTTCCCTGCCTTCCCTGAACCTTTCTTGACCTAAGAAAAAAAGAAACAAAATATCCCCCTCTAGTGGTCGAAGGCAGAATAGCAGCTTCCCATTAGTTTCTATGGACGGAAAAGAGCAGATACGGATCAAATGGTTTTCAATGCATTCCTATGGGAGATGCAGATTTGACCTGCGAACTTTTTGACTTGAGAACCGCCTTCCAATACGGATTAAGTTCTCAAGCCAAGACCCCACTGTATCTCCTCATTAATTATATCCATTTTAC